CAAGTGTAGATGACAGGTCAAGAAGTGGTTGCCCTCGGTCTGTTAGGACTCCAGCAGTGATAAAAGCTGTGAAGGCGCGAATTCAAAGAAATCCCAAACGTAAGCAGAAACTGTTGGCCCTTCAGATGGGGTTAAGCAGAACCACGGTGAAAAGGGTGTTAAATGAAGACTTAGGGCTTCGGGCATATCGAAGAAAAACAGTACATCGTTTGAATGCTCGTCTATTGGACCTGAGACTGAAGAGATGCCGCGCTTTGTTGAAGCGGTACGCGGGAAAAAAATATCGGGAAATTCTTTTTTCGGATGAAAACATTTTTACCGTAGAAGAGAGCTACAACAAACAAAATGATAAGGTGTACGCACACAGTAGTGAAGAAGCGGGCAACCATATTCCGCGTGTCCAACGAGGTCATTTTCCATCCTCGCTCATGGTATGGTTGGGAGTTTCTTATTGGGGCTTAACAGAGGTACATTTTTGTGAGAAAGGTGTAAAAACGAATGCAGTTGTGTATCAAAATACAGTCCTGACGAACCTTGTGGAACCTGTTTCTCATACCATGTTCAATAACAGGCACTTGGTATTCCAACAAGATTCGGCGCCAGCTGATAGAGCGAAGAGCACACAAGACTGGCTGGCGGCGCGTGAAATCGACTTCATCCGGCACGAAGACTGGCCCTCCTCCAGTCCAGATTTGAATCCCTTAGATTACAAGATATGGCAAAACTTGGAGGGAAAGGCGTGCTCAAAGCCTCATCCCAATTTGGAGTCACTCAAGACATCCTTGATTAAGGTAGCCGCCGATATTGACATGGACCTCGTTCGTGCTGCGATAGACGACTGGCCGCTCAGATTGAAGGCCTGTATTCAAAATCACGGAGGTCATTTTGAATAAACTTTAGTGTCATAAGAATCTATGTTTTGTTAAGTTCATTTTGGTATATAAATGGTTACATAATGAATAAACTTGTTTCAATTATTTTATATTAAACATATGACAGAATTTATGACCTGACTAGGTATATACTGACGGACGTAGTTCAAATAGCACATCTCAAAAATATTAATTTTATGAACTGCGCCCATGTAGTTAGTAGATCGCTCACCTATAACGTCGATATTACCTCAAATAATTAGATTTGGATACTTTTGCTATATAAGGAAACTGCACCTTGCTTGTATATAAGTGCACCATTGTTAAAAATGCATAAAATGCAATACTAATTGCAAAAAGTGAATAAAACCAAAGTTAAGTGTCCAATGCATTCCCCCTACCTCAACCTACGAATTTGGAGTATTTATATTTAAAATAACTGATATACTTCTTTCTAATAGCATATGTAAAAAATATTAATTATTCAAACTGCGCCCCTTTAGTTTATAAATAGAAAAAGGTAAAATCGCTTACCTAAGGTCGATATAACCAATTAATTATATTTGGGTACTATGCAATATGAAAAAATTGCACTCTGCTTTTGAATATAACTGCACCGTTTAAAATGCAATATTAAGTGCCAAAATTAAATTAAAATATGTAAACGTGCCAATGTAAATGTGCCAAACACAAATAAGCAAATAAAATAATTATCGCCAACTATTGGACAAAAAAAATTAACATAAAAGCAAATTCATGGAATTGGTAAATTCTGGAACACAAAATATTTTATTCAAGTTTTCCTAATAATGAGATATTATTATTATTGTTTCATATTAATATGTGTATTATTAAATTTTAATATCTCGATAAATGTTAAGGACTAAGGTAAGAGCGAAACACCCCAACACGACTATATTAAATTACTCTCTAGGGTTGTTTCACCACTAATTTATTAAAAGTTTATTGGGAAATAAATGTATTTTTATTTTATTTATTTATTCTATAAAGCTATATTTCTTTTTTCAGGTCATTATTTACCTTTGACGAAACTTAAATCCATATTACAGCAGCTGAAGAAATGTAAAAAATAATAAATTGGCTTTTAAAAGAAAATATATCCTTGCAATAAAATGATTAGAACCATAAGCATTTGAAATTGTGTCATCAAAATTGTCAGCTACTACAAAAATATGCAAGCTTCTCAGAGTGGCAAGAAAAAACATAGCAGGTGATTATGCTAGGTGATAAAAATGTTGGCATTGCAGTTGTATAAGCAACTTGTGCGTTTTACTGAGCAAAAAGACACTGGTAAACTTATTTTACAATTAAATAATTTTATACACACAAATAATTTTAAAGGCGTCCCGCTCTGAGAGAAAAAATAAAAGGTCACATTAGGTCTACATCGAACTATTTTATGCAGTGCGCCCACAAGTGAGGAAAGTTTGTTGTGAATATATTGTAAGTGGCACCCTACCGTATCAATTGGACCCGGTAGGTGGTATAAAGGTGGCGTAAATATAAACCATCCAGGAATCCACTCAAACATATACAAAATTAATCAAAATCAGTTGAACCATTTTCGAGTCTTAGGGGACTAACGGTCAGCAATTTATTTCTATTTAAAGAGTTTTAAACGTATGTATTAGTTTTGGGTACTAGACAATTAGTGCTTCGTGCCGTTAATTAAAAAAGGGAGAGAGCTGCTTGTTTGTAGTCTGCATCTGACGTACGTATGTCTAACGAATCATTCTTATCTACACAGTAAAACTGAAAACTCTTGAAATTACGTAGAAATATATTTCGAAACGTATTAGTGGCTTAATGGTTGAGGGATCATCTTTCCATTAATTGAAACTTAATTCTTAAGAGTATTAATAATAAGTTTGTTATGTTAGTATGATTACATATTTACCTATTGTATAATTACTAATGTATATGGAGGGTAAATGTACCTGTACTTACCTTCCACACATTGTATCTGTTGTCTATAATAAATAATAAAATTGAGATATCCGTATTACTCTTTGCTGGTTTTTTGTTTTAATTTAATAAGAGAGACGTTTACAGGTTAACTTCTTACACGTCTATCTATATAAATAAAATGATATAGTTTTGCAGTTGTGCGGGTATCATGGAAAAACTACTAGATAGATTTTGATTAGGTTTTCAAGTCATATTTCTTAGACACTTGACCCTAACCTAAAAAAAAATATTGCGATATCTGCTGCGAAATCTATTGGTTTTAAGAACGCGGACGAAGTCGCGGGTATCAGCTAGTTTTCCAATAAAAAAAATGATCTGCGTAAACTTGCTACTAATGAGGCCAATAAAGAAAACCTCGGATGATAAAAATCCTATACTATACATTTCTACGCCGCGCATGCGCCAATGCCCCGTGTGCATTCGACACTTAGCATTTTATTAACTTTTTGCATTTTATGCATTTATAACGGTGGTGGTTATATATTCAAGCAGGGTGCAGTTTTTTTTCATATCGTTCAATGAAACCAATTCTCATTATTTGAAGTAATATCGACGTTATAAGGTGAGCGATATTTAACTATTTTTTATTTCTATACTACATGGGTGCAGTTTACATAATTAATATTTTTGAGATGTGCTATTTGAACTACGTCTGTCAGTATTTTTTTTATATAATTTCTACAAATATGTAGCCTAAAGTAGGGGGGTGGTGCATTCGACACTTAACAAAGTTTGTTTTATTATATTTTTGCAGTTAATTATGAATTTAATGCATTTTAATGATGGTGCAATAATATATAAGCAAGGTTCAGTTTTTATATATAGCAAAATGTACCCTACTCTACTAATTCTAATTATTTGAAGTAATATCGACTTTATAAAATAAGCGACCTTTAACAATTTTTAGTTTCTAACATTTTAAATAATTGATATTTTTGAGATGTGTTTTTTGAACTATGTCTGCCAGTATTTTTTTTTATATATATACTCAAAATTCATAGGCTTGGGTAAGGCAGGGTAAGGGGGTATTCCGAAACACACAAATTAGTCTATGATAATATGTCAATTTAGGGGTAGCGATTCTTTCTGAAAAAGATCGATTTTAAAATCGATTCGAATCGTAAGCAGATGTATCGATTCAAAAAAAAAACAATGTCTTTAACATCGATTTCTAAAAAATCGGTATTTATTTTCAAGTTCGCATTTATAATGTAAATATAAGTCCATTTAATGAAAAACAAAATAGATACCATTATAAATGATCACTTATCAGTAAACAAGTCAAGTTTTCAACGTGGTAGAGCCATGCTGCAGCTATATTATGGTTGTAGCACGAATGGGTCGGCTCGACCGGGGAACGACCACGCTCTCACAGAAAACCAGCGTAAAATAGCAGCTTAAAGCTGCTGTGTTTCGTATGGTGAGTGTAGAGAACCTGAGACCCTTTTTACTGGAAAAGAGGCATTCCATCTCAGTCCTCACGGGTGACAACGCATCTGCATCTTGAGTCTTTATTGAGGATAGATGTAGATGTCTATGGGTCACAGTAATCACTTACCATCAGGTGGACTGTGTGCTCGTTTGTCACCCGATCCTATAAAAAAAAAACTCAGTTTCTTTAGTTCAGGGAATTCGATAATAACAATTATTTCTATAACCATATTAAAGTCGGATCAGGTTTGAAAGAAGACATTTATTTTCAAAATGTATTTATTCCATGAAAAAGTTAAAGTTCCCAGTTATTAATTAACCTTTTAACCGGCAATACCGCTTTAGTAAGGATACATTTAACTTATCGTAAATAATTTTATGGTTTTTACCAAAAAAAATCGAATGGCAATTTTCAAGGGTGAATAATCGATTCACTGGATGGATTAAGCACTGCATATCGATTTAAAAATCGATGTATTGGGCCTGAAAAATCGATTTTCCATTAATCGATCGTAAATCCCCGTCCCTAGTCCAATTTTGTTTGAAAATTACCTATTTATCTATGAAAAATTGAAAATCTCCTCTTTTGTTAGATAAGATAATTATCAAATAAAAGATTGTATTTGAACAGTGATAAAGTATTACAATGGGATAAACCTATCAAATAAATAACTTTCATTTCAAATAACTTTCGTACTAATTAGCACGATGGAACATTTTGGCCTGTCTCACATTTTATATGAACCAGATAAATATAATCCTGATACACTAGACTTGATAATCGACGAAGAAGCAAGAGAATACTGGCTTAATACCTGTGAAAAACTTGTAGATAAATATGTTAACTTTGCACTTGCCAACACTGACGATCCCACTGTGGAGATAAGAGCTTTAAAATTTAAGACATGCTACGTGGAAGCATTAAAAGAACTTCGTGTAAATCCTCTGTAAGTTACACAAATCATATTAACACAATAATATTTCTGCCGTGTGTTGGCGTCATATCAGAATCTATCATCCTATTCCGTCCCGTGACAAAAAGATATTTATGTATTCAGACTGATGGTGGTAACACAAGTTCGTATACCTACATTAAATATCCAGATGTTTTACTACAAGAGGAGACATTTTCAGAGATTGGATGGGGAATAGAGAGCTAGTATTAGGGTAGGTAGCAGGGTGTGAGTGATTCTATCTTAGTTCTCAGAGTTGACAACACAACATTGGCCTTATTTGTCTATAAAAATGAGCATTATAATATTAAGAAAATTATAGATTATAATAACCCTGGGAATGAGGTGATCGCTACCATGCTATTTGTAATTTGTATTGTGTTGTTAATTATTTCATAACTTTAATGATTGTAAACTGTTATTTTTTTTCAATATAACAAGGCCCGCGGGGTTTCTTGCTGGTTTGTCCCAGTACAGAGATATTATTTTTTCAAACTAGTCTTATATTAAGCATAAAAGTGACTTTCAATAAGTAATTAAGTCAAATGTTCGTGGACTTCATGTCATTAAATGATTTACAGCAATATAATCTCATCAAAAATAAACAACATAAGATTTTAGATTTAGTCTTTTCAAACATCAAGTTGTCTATTCATGTATCAGAGTCGAACGACGCCCTCTCAGTTGTAGATGGGTATCATCCACCATTAGAGATCGATATTCCGTTTAAGAAACATTCTCTCTCAAGTATAAAGATAACCGTGTATATAAATGCTACAAAGCAGATTATAATGATGTTAGAAAAAGCTTGAATTCTATCAATTGGGACGATGAACTGAATATATGCTCTACCACGGACGAATCAGTAAATTTTATGTTCAGAATATAGAATAAAACACCTTGGTTGAATATTGTTATCTATTAAGCTTGGTAGCATTACAAAAGACAAGTGTCATGAGTGAATATTAAATTACCTACATTCAATTTACTTTATTAATGAACAAAGTAAACAAGTACCCCCAAATAGAATAACAATAAATCTTTGAATATGACATACTTTCCCCATTAGTAAGTAACCTAAACAATATAATTATTTAAACAAGATACATAACACTTGAAATCAATCAGTGTAATATAAGATATTAATACACATATACAAGCTTAAGATAAATAAAGATTTTCTCTATTAGCGTTTGATCTTTCATATGGTGTTTTAGAATGTAAACTTGACTTATGTTTTATCTTTCTACTTGTTGGAAGTGTTGTCTCTGCTGTGGGTGGTATTCCTAACATCTCTGCCCATTTATTAGAGTCTGGAATCTCAATTATTATATCAGTGTCTTGACTACTTTCTTGATTTTCTTCATTGTTGACACTATCTGAACTCTCAGGACGTACACCCTCTACTGATTCAGCGGTTCTAATCATTCTTTGTCCCTCCTGCATTTCAGAATCCTCACAACTAATATTAGGCCCTTTTTTAACTAACTGATCAATATGTCTATTGATTATTATACCATTATTGGTTCTGATCTCATAACTTGATGGCCCTTTTTTGTTAATAACTTTTCCTGGCAGCCATCTTGGGCCAGCACTGCTATAATTGCGGTACATAATCTCGACCTACATTAGTTTCCCTGTTTTTCCTCTGACTGTTATTGATAATTTGTTTTTCGATTTTCTCAGTTTTTGCTGAATCTGGATGTATAGTATCTAAAAGTGTACGTAAATATCTCTTCATTAGTAGTTCAGATGGGCTCTTATTGGTTGCGGTGCATGGTGTAACTCTAAGACCAAGCAACAAATTTGGTATTTTAGTGTCCCATGCTAGATCCTCCATTTTGCACAGTTTGTCCTTAATTGTCTGTACCATTCTCTCTGCCAACCCGTTTGTAGATGGGTGGTATGGTGCTGTAGTTATATGACGTATGTTATTAGCTTTTAGGAATTCATTCATTTCTTTTGAGACAAATGATGGTCCATTATCAGAAACCATCACTTCACATAAGCCATGTGTTGCAAATGTTGTTCTCAAAAGTCTTATAACTGTCGATGAGGTAGTGTTATTTACCATAAATAATTCTGGCCAGCGTGAGTATGCATGCACTATGATTAAAAAATATTTTTTATGATATGGTCCAGCAAAATCAATATGAATCCTTGACCATGGTTTTGTGGGTGTAATCCATACATGACTGGATTTTTTAGGCATATGGCGATTCTCTAAACATTTCGGACAGCCTCTTACCAGTGTCTCTATATCCTCATTAAGATTTGGCCACCACACATAGCTCCTTGCAAGTGCTTTTGTTTGCACTATCCCTGTGTGTGTTTTATGCAACATTTCTAAAGTTTTACGGCGCATTAATTTTGGTACTAATACACGGCAGCCCAATAATATACAGTCCTCTTGTAGTGATAACTCTGCACGATGCAGCCAAAATGGGCGTAAATCTGCGTCTGTTATTCTAGCAGGCCAACCACGTTGAACATAATAAATAACCTGAGATAAAGTTCTATCGCGTTTCGTTTCTATAGCTATGTCTTTAGCATTAAATGGAAAATCCTCCGGAGTCTCAGCCATCAACAAAACTTCAGACAACTGTTGTTCTGGTTGTTCGTTGACTGGATGTGGCCATCGACTTAGACTGTCTGCATTACCTATTTGTGATCCCGGTTTATATACAATCTCATAATCATGAGACATTAAAGCAATCGCAATCCTCGTCAATCGAGGAGACAACATATTTGACATTGGTTTTTTAGGGTTAAATATACCAAGCAATGGTTTGTGGTCCGTAATTATCCGAAAATTACGACCCATGAGGTAATTATGAAATTTTTTAATGCCAAACATAATTGATGTGGCTTCTTTATCTAACTGAGAATAACGTCGTTCATGTGCATGAAGGGTTCTCGATGCCATTGCTATTGGCCGTTCTTGGCCATCCTCCATTTCATGTGACAATACTGCTCCTACCCCATATTCCGAACTGTCACAGGTAAGAACTACTGGCTTATTTACATCATAATGAACTAGAGTTAAATCAAATGCGAGTAAGCTTTTAGCCATGTCAAATGAACTTTGCTCACGCTCAGACCATGTCCATGTCTGTGAAGAGTCTAATAATCGATGCAATGGTTCAAATATTGTCGCTTTATGAGGTATGAACCTTTCATAAAAATTGTACAACCCGAGAAATGCTTGCAGTTCTCGTTTATTTTTGGGTGCTGGAGTATTTACTATAGATTCGACTTTACTTGGTGCAGGATGTATTCCCTCAGAATCGATAACATAGCCTAAAAATTCGACTTTTTCTTTAGCAAATTGACATTTCATTTTATTTAAGCGTAATCCTGCCCCTTCAATTCGATCTAGTACTAAATCTAATCTTTTTTGCATTTCTAACATAGTACGACCACATATGATTATGTCATCTATCAAAACTGCCACTCCTGGAATGCCAGCCAGTAAAGAAGTCATTAAGCGCTGGAAAATTCCTGGACTTGCTTTTACCCCAAAGGCCAACCTATGCACTGTAAATAAACCCTTGCACGTGTTTAATGTTAGAAGCTTTGACGTATTATCATCCACAACTACTTGTGTGTAAGCTCTATCTAGGTCTAAAGTTGTGAAAAATCTTCCTCCAGCTATGGTAGCGAAGACTTCATTTGCCGTGGGCATGGGATAAATATCCGACTCTGTTGCTTCATTAACTGTACTGCGGTAATCTCCACATAAACGAATCTCACCAGATTTTTTTATTATTGGCACAACTGGTGTGGCCCACTCCGAAAAAGTCGTTGGATGTAAAACTCCTTCCCTTTCTAGATGATCTATTTCCATCTCTACTCTTTGCTTTATAGCAAATGGTACAGGACGTGCTTTTACAAATTTTGGAATAACTCCTGGTTTAATGTGTATTGTTACTGGATGTCCACAGTATGTACCGAGTCCATCTTTGAATACCTCTTTATGTTTCAATAATACACTATCCATTTCCAATAACTCAGCACTGGAAACATAATTGACATTAATAGTAATGTTAAGAGGGTTCAGCCAGTCTCGACCCAGAAGGTTGGGCCCATTACCCTTCGCTACAATAACACATAGGTCCTTCGAAATATTCTTGTAACACACAGGCAACGTAATTTGCCCAAGAAGTTTGACCGGTGTTTCAGTCCAGGTCCGCAACGATATTGCAATAGGTTGTAACACAGCATCCGATAATTGAGAGTGTAGTATGTGCCATGTCTGCTCGTTAATTAGCGAAAAACTAGCTCCTGTATCAACTTGCATATGGATTGGTACGCCTGCAAGTGACAACTCAACTTCGTATGGTGGGACACGGCTATTAGTATGAACGCAATAAACTCCATTTAAATGATCATCTGCTTCTGATATAAACTTTATTTGCTGAGAAGAATTCCTCTTCTTACTTATGCAAATCTTCTCCAAATGTCCTTTTTTCTTGCAATACCGACACACTGTATTTACAAAACGACATTCTCCTGAATGGCGGTCACCGCAACGATAACAAAAGCGGACATTTGCTCTTGATTGTACAGCATTTATATCCATCGGTTCACTTGTACCACTCGCTGAACTGTATGGTAATGCTAGTTCTGACTGAGTCATAGCTCCTGTTGTGTTGCCTTGAATCATACGAACATCTCGCCCTGCACTTTCGGCTGATAACATCGCATCAACTACATCTTGATAACGCAAATTGTCTCGTTTCAATAACTCATATTGCAGTTTACTGTCACACATACCGCATACCAGTCTATCGCGTAACATTCTTTCTAAATCAGTAAAGTTACACCCCGAACTTAGTTTTCGTAAATGAGCAATGTATTCTGAAGCACCTTCATCACGTTTTTGATTGCAATTATAAAATTTATAAGACACAGAAATTTCGTTAGGTTTTGGGCTATAATGATTTGTTAAAATTGTTTCTATTTCACTGAATGTCACATCAACCGCTTTTTTTGGAGTAATTAATGCAAGTAATGTTTCGTAAACTCGTGAACCACACACTGTGAAAAAATTTGCTCTTTTAGCAGAATCTAATATGACGCCGTTAGCCTCGAAACAAAATTTTAAACGGTCTAGATAATTGTCCCAACTATCTGTTTGAGGATTGTACTCATCGAATTTCACTGATTTTATGTCCATTTTTAACACTTTTCACCACTCGTCGCCACTTTTATGTTCAGAATATAGAATAAAACACCTTGGTTGAATATTGTTATCTATTAAGCTTGGTAGCATTACAAAAGACAAGTGTCATGAGTGAATATTAAATTACCTACATTCAATTTACTTTATTAATGAACAAAGTAAACAAGTACCCCCAAATAGAATAACAATAAATCTTTGAATATGACAGTAAATAAACTATATGAAATTACTAATAAAATAATAAAGGACAAAATACCGTTACTACACTCACAAAAACATAAATACCCACCTTGGTTCAGTATCAATCTTATAAAAATCTTAAAGGAAAAGGAAAAGTGTCGACAAAAATGGAAAAAATTTAAAAACCATCTAGACAAATTTAAATATGATATATTAAAAAAACGAACTAATATGCTTATAAAAAAATTGTACAATAAATATATTAATGATGTTCAGGATAATCTAATAAAGAATCCAAAAGTGTTCTGGTCTTACTTAAAACAAAAACGTCAAAACTCCAATAATATACCACAAAATATGAAACTCGACAATATTAAAGTAATAGCATGAAGTATTGCAAACTTATTTGCTAAAATTTTGCTAGTGACTACACTCTTCCTGCAAATTCACATCAATTTAATAGCACAATACCATTTTGCACTCAGTCATTAAATAATATATATATATATATCACAAGAAAAAATTAAGACAACCTTAAAAAACCTGGACATTAAAAAGAGTGCAGGCAGTGATAGTATACCTCCTATATTCTTCAAAAATTGTGCAAATCAGTTCTCTAGACCCTTATATATCATATACAATAAGTCACTTTCTGAAGGATATTTTCCAACTCAATGGAAAGAAGCTCTTGTTGTGCCTATACCTAAATCTGGTGATCGATGCGATATTAAAAATTATCGACCAATCAGCATTCTTCCAGTATTGGCTAAGGTCTTTGAGTCCCTCATATGTCCTACCTTAAACTGGCATATAAAACAACACATCACTGATCGACAACACGGTTTTTTCAAACAACGTTCAATTGCAACTAATCTAACTGCATTTGTTGAAAGAACGATTACAAGGATGAGCAACGGTGATGAAGTTGATGTAATATACAGTGACTTTAGTAAAGCCTTTGACAAAGTTGACCATTTAATCCTCGAGCATAAGTTAAAAACACAGTTTGGCATAGAAGGCTCACTTCTAAATTGGTTTTACTCATACCTCTCAAAGAGGACTATTAAAGTAATAGCATGAAGCAAATACAAAGAGGAGACGTTGTAATTAAATTTCACTATGTAAAAACGCGTGACAATTTGCGGGGTGAGGGGATGCAAAGCCCCGCCCACTACACTATCTACATCTACCGATAAATAGTAAAACTACTCAAATCTTTCCATATCGATGTTGCAATGTAGCTTAGCTACCTTGACGGTAGATGGCGGCATGTCCACAAAATGTTATAAACTATAAAATAATATTTACAAATGTAATGTGATGCCATCCATAACATCAGAGCGTCTATCTGAGTAGTTTTTACACAATAAAACACAACACTTCATCCTTTTCTTCTTAATACTACGAAAATACACCGATTTGCGATTTTTTCAACACAAGCGCACAGGACGAATGCTGACAGTATACTAACTAAAGCCACGCCCACTATGATGACGTCAGGACCTACTTAGAATCACAGCGCACAGTTGCTTATGCCGTCTCCCCTTTGTATTAGCTTCATGAGTAATAGTAAAGGGTTTTATTTCAAACACTTTCACTCCGACATCTGGTGTTCCACAGGGATCTATCCTTGGCCCCGTTATCTTTATTATTTTTATAAAAGATATATAATAAAAAACTCTGAATTCGAACTTTATGCAGACGACCTATAAATATCAAAGATTGTCAAAACTGAGCAAGAGCAAAGAGCTTTACAAGATGATATCGACAAATTTTACGATTGGTGCCAACATAATAGAATGGAGCTGAATATCAAAAAATGTTTTCATATCAAATTCTCCCGAAAATACCATAAATTCCAAACTAGCTATAACATTGCAAAACAACCAGAAAGGTCGACGTGGTTCGTGATCTGGGCGCCCTTTTCGATTCAAAAATGAATTTCGGAGAACACATTGATGCAGTTGTAAATAAAAGCCTGAGGATGATTTCATTCATATTGCAAAACACCAGAGAATTTAAATCAGTCATTGCATTAAAGACTCTTTATTTTTCATTGGTTCGCTGTAACATAGAATATTGTTGTAATGTATGGTATCCCACTTATCAAAACAATATTCAACGATTGGAAAATGTTCAAAAGAAGTTCATTCGCAGACTCTCATACGTTGCTGGAGTGCATCGCACTATAAGGGGTTATGAGGAAAAGCTCGATTATTTCTCCCTAAAATCATTACATCAGCATGCAGACAAACTCAGACTGGTTTTCCTTTACAAGCTCCTTAATGGTGCCATTGACTGCCCTAAATTACTTTCCCTAGTTGGAATAAGAATCCCCAGACCATCGACTCGGCTGCACACCTATGCCCCATTATTTGTGCCTAGAAGAAGGAACAATTATGGAAAGAATAGCCCCATATCACTTGTTTTATCCAGATATAATCGACTTTTTAGAAAGGCAAGCATAGATATAGATATTTTTTCAGACAGTGTTAGCCAATTTCTAGTGAATGTTGAAAAGCACATCGAGTAACTCGACATAAACATTCATCCTAAATGATAATAAAATTAAATAGCCATACTTAATGTAACTTTATTCTATATTTTACTTAAAAAATATGTCTTTTCTTAAATCTTAACTTAAATTTCACACATAATTTTTAGTATTGTTTTAAATAAAGTAATTGCATTAATGTTAAAGTGTTGTACTCACCTATAATTTAAGTACATATATATAATGTTATACAAAATGTAGCCGAAATGTTTTCATATGTACTTAGTTGGTAAGTCTAAATAAATAAATAATCTATATTGAATAATAAAGTTTCTAGCCCATGGCGTGCAGTAGCCATTTACTAATAGGTGTCACTTCAGTATAGTAATTAATATTATCTCACCAACTGCTAAGTCAATTTAGTCATTATGTTCTGATTGGGAGTTTGGACTAGCACATATGGATACTTTAAAGTCATTTATGGAAATCTAAAAAATCATAATATATTAATACACATTAATAAAATTGAAGAGTGAGTGACTTTTATATACCCAGGGTTATATGTGTATGCTATTAGTCAGAAAAAATATTGATAATTTAATAAATTATGATAAATATAGTAAATATGGTGAGACCGAGAATGTAGCTACTTACTTTTTTGCATATTTTAATACTAATCAGTAATAATATTGGTGATAACTTAAGTTTATGATAATTTAGCTGATCAAAAACTATATTTACTTAAGGGATGATAGATATTCAAAAGTCAATGTTTAGTGATAAAATATATTGATGTATTAGCATGCATAAAATTAAAAAAAAAAGTTGTGAGTGCAGTTCAGTCTGCCCTTATTATCATCAACTACAACAACAAAAAGTTCAATTTTTTAAATTCATTCATTTCATTTATACAAACATGCTATATGGAATTTTACATACAAAATATGCGCTTAGTCATGGAGTTGTGGAAAATGTAACTTTACATATGTGTAGAAAAAATGAGGCTAACATAAAAGCCTGGTTTAATATTAATCAAAATCAAAAGTTCAAAAATTTAAAGCTATAGGAAGACAAAATTGTAAACAAACTAAGATATATATAAATTTATTTCCATATACAAAATTTGAGTGCATTTCAAGTAGGAAAAACTTAATTTCACAAATTATCAGATAAGACGATGAAAACCACACTGAACTGTCCTCCTTCTAGTAATATGAATTACACACTAAGAAACACATCTGATGTGTTTGCTTGTGAGAGTATGAGATCATATTGTATGAGTAGAGTCGTAATGTATCTTTCTAGAAATATGCATATTTACATTCTTTATCTTGTCTACTATATTGATTTCTATGAAGAATGATATTTATTTATAATTTGCCCCTTTCATCATAATATCAAATAAAAATAAAATAGATCTATCATCATTCTAAACCTTAATTTTTGTAATATTTGAAATATGGTAAAGAATTATTCTTTTTTTATTTTAAGTTGAAAGTAAAAAATAATAGGTTCTAGTTTCTTGCCTCAGAAGGACTAATAAGATAGACCAAGTATATTATTATTTATAATTTTAGTGCTCATGGGCAGTTGTCTATAAGATTACTACTCGACGTCAACGAAACATGCCTTCGTTCTCAGGGCTTCTTTGATTTATGGAAGCAACAAAAGAAGTATGAAAATGAATCTGCCCTGGCAAATTTGAGCTCAAGATTAGCTGAAATAGATGCCATACCAAACAATCGACAAAGATGGACTGAGTTGTGTCAGGGAGTTTTAGCTGGTAAACAAAATGAAATTTATTAAGATGCGCAACATTTTGATTTATGTTCTTATTATGTGCTTATTTAATTAATTTAATTTTACAATAGGTAACATGTTTGATTGGGGTGCTCAGGCTGTTACAGATATACTTGATCGTGGACTATATGAAGCTTTACAAAAGATTCAAAGCAGGCCATGGCTGTATGATGGCTTAGATAAATGGCTAGAAAAAATAGAGGTAAATAACCAGAACTTCTCTAAATTTTACAAATTTTAGTGAAAATATATTGTTTTAATTATGGTCATGTTTACTTTTATAATTACAGAAGACAGTACACCACTGTGCAGCTGTATTTGTGGACAACAGTGGAGTTGATATAGTTTTAGGTATCTTGCCATTTATAAGAGCATTATTACTTAGAGGTACTTCAATCATACTGTGTGCAAATGAATGGCCAGCTCTTAATGATATCACTAATGTAGAATTGGAAGAAGTTCTTCATCATGCCTCCCTGATTTGTCCAGTGTTGTCAGCGGCCATGGCCAATGGAGATTTAGTTGTAAGATCCAGTGGACAAAGAGGTCCATGTCTTGATCTAAGGACTATTAGTGTAGGTAAGGTAATGACCAGTTTTTATCTCAGTCAAATAGAATAGGACCATTTTTATTAAATTTAGATTATAAATAAATCTTATTGAGTCATTTAAAAAAAACCTGTGTTCTGCAAAGAACCAGCAAGAAACTTTTTTTTGCAAAGTAACATCATGCAATAAAAATAAGTTGTAAGAAGAACAGTTTGGATCCTCCTCACTTCTTTCGCAGTTCCCAGAGGTTACCATGTATTTATTTATATTATAATAACACTATAGTCTGTTTTATAAAAAATATAAAATTTGTTATAGAGTGTACCTTGGTATATTTTCTGGAACTTGGTTGTAAAAGCATATATATTGATATTCATGAATAAATTACTGACATCATGGAGTTGAATAACTATAGCTATAGCAGACACAAGCTATAGCTATTATAACTTGTGTCTGCTGGTGTTTACAGAGTGTACAGTGTGTGTGCTTTTTTAATTTTCTTAAAGCTTGTACATTTTAATAAATTGAAATAGCTGAAATAAATTAATCTTGCTGTCTCAATACTTGTGAGACTTCTAATCCCTTTACAGCATAACATTTAGTTATATATGGGTGTTCCACTAAAGTTTTGGATCAAAAGTAATGCTAAGAAAAATAGTGATATTGACAAGACTCAGTTCTTCTCCATTCAAAACATTGTCTTCAGTAGGGAATATGGAACTGGAACTGTTTTAAGATCTAATTTTTGTTCAATGATAGTGGATTCAGTGAAGGAGTAAGAAAATAGTTTTCAATGGTAAAAATGATAAATATTTAGATTTTTTAATTTTATATATGTAATAGCTTCTAAGTATTAGAAGAAATCAATCAACATAATTATTATTCATTAAGCGGGCTTTAAAAATAATTTTAAAATATTGAAGAGACTGCTCTCAGTAAGACACACACTTAATCATGCTTTGTTTTTGGACTGGGTTTGATCCCGACTGGCCAGAGCATTCAGTTGATATCTCTCCATAACTGTACTGTCATATGCATACAAAGAATAAAAAAGCAAGAAGAGAGTTGTGAAGAGAATGGACCCCTGAGTGCTCCGGCGTTATTTCGACATAGGCTCAGAATAGCAAACATTCGGACAAGGATTTGGAGAGACCCATTTCCTTAATTAATTCTTTACCCAGTCGATTAGACCAGAGCATAACCAGCATGCTGAAAGCTTGCCTAAAAGGTTAGGGTACCAGACCCTGGCAGAGACCTTTGAGATATCAAGGGAATCAGTTCCCCATTTTTCTCTGAAGCTTTTCCTCATATGTGGGTGGCACACACTTATGGGCAAGGAGATGTTTAACGATTATGGCGAAACCCATACTGTTGGTTGCTGAGGAGGTCATTCTGTTCTAGGTATGCAATAAGATTTGCATTCAATATACACTCCATAATCTTGCAGAGTATGGAGGCGGCTGCTTATATTAGGCTTAAGCTGCACATTGGCCAGCTTCCAGGATTTTGTCACTATTCTAGTTCTAAATGAGAGTGGTCTCAAGCCTTCAGAACAATAGCTGGTGTATCATCTGGTTCAATAAATTTGTTCATGTATAGTGTAGACCAGGGCTTTCCTAACTATGTGTAGCGACGCTCTGGGGGCGTAGCGGCTCTATCCCAGGGGCGTCGTGAGGCGTCTACAGATTGGCTGTGTCGATGCGACCGAGTCGAATGAGCGCCGCGCTCATTCTGATTCTGTTCTGTCGATCGCGGGCGGCCGGCCGGCGCTGGCGTCGACCTCCCTTCGTGTATTTCCCTTTCCCCCGCGTATACATATCGTTTCAGTCAGTCAAGCTTTTGTTTTAATTACGCATGCGGAGTTTAAATATTGACTATGGATAATTTTATTAAAAGAAATAGAAAACGAAGGGAAGACTCAGGGGAAAGCAGTAAAGAAACTTCAGAAAAACGGAAGAAGTATAGAAAATATGACGACCAATATTTGGATTTCGGATTTACCTACATTACTAAAGGGATTGTAGAACTTTCTCAGTGTGTTGTTTGTCATAAAGTGTTGGCAGCTGAAAGTATGCTTCCTAATAAACTAAAACGTCATTTGGAAACAACTCACAGTAATTTACAAGGTAAGCCGAGAGACTTTTTTGTTAGAAAATTGCGAGAACTGAAACATCAGTCCACGGCTTTGCTTTCAAGAGCATCAGTTCCTACCAAAGCATTGCTTGCCTACTACAAGGTAGCTCACTGTGTTGCCAAATGTAAGAAGCCACATACAATTGCTGAGGAACTGATTTTACATGCAGCGGTTGATATGGTATCAGTGATAATTGGAGAATCGGCGGCTAAAGAAATAAAAGATGTACCTCTTTCAAACAATACTATTAGCCGCCGTATTCATGACATGGCAGAAGATATTAATGAGCAAATTGTGGAGAAACTTTCAGGCTTTTTGCCATTCAACTGGATGAAGCGACGGATAGTAATGACGATGCTCAATTGATATGTTACGTGCGGTACATACAAGAAACAAATGTGTGTGAGGATTTGTTATTTTGCAGAAAAATATGTGAAAGTAGTAAGGCTACTGATCTATTTGAGATCTTAAATTCATACATGATCGAAAATAATATTAAATGGGAGAACTGTGTGGGTGTGTGTACGGATGGTGCTCCAGCGATGTCTGGACAGTATGGAGGACTACAAGCTCTCATCAAAACTAAGGCTCCAAATGTAAAATGGACACACTGTGTCATATATAGAGAGGCTTTAGCTGCAAAGAAAATGACACCTGAATTAAATTTTGTGATGGATATATTTATCAAAGTGGTGAACTACATTAAAACACGACCGGTGAAAGCGAGATTTTTCCATAAGCTTTGTGAAGAATTGGGTGCCGAGCATACTTCTTTAATTTATTATTGCAACTCTCGTTGGTTGTCCAAAGGCAATATACTCGCACGTGTATACGAACTATGAAATGAGTTCTATACTTATCTACAGACAGAATCACACAATGATGCGCAAAACTTTATTAATACAGAGTTTATAATAAAATTGGCATATCTCCGTGACATATTTCAGAAATTAAATGATATTAATAAGTCCTTGAAGGGAAACAATACTCACATACTGCATGGCAGATAAAATCATTGGGTTTCAGAAGAAGTTGCTCTTATGGAAGAGAAAATTAGAAGAAGATCATGTACATAGTGATTGTTTTCCTGCTTTACAATGCATTCTACAAGAAAACTCGATAGAAAGCCCTGATCCCTCTCTAAAACTAATATTTACACAGCACTTGTCATCATTAAGTGAACATTTTGAAAACTATTTTTCAGTCGACCTCACCGTCATCACTTTCGACAAAAGAAGAAGAACAATTAATAGAACTGTCCTGTGACTCCAGCCTTAAGCTCCAATACGACAAAGTCAAAATGCTTGAATTTTCATCGTACATCGTACTTGTGCGTAACAGGCTTTTCTGCAGTTGCAGTAATAAAGAACAAGTACAGATCGAAAATAAATGTAGAGAAAGAGATGAGAGTGGCAATTTCCAAACTTGAGCCACGTTTTGAAAAGCTATGCTCAGAAAAACAAGCATATCCTTCTCATTAGTAGCCAGCCAAAAAAGTATCTCTTTTCATTTTTGTTCTTGTTTTTTTTTCTTATTATTTAATAAAAATTATAAATGTTATTTGCAGTTTTTCTGGTATCTTGTTACTAGGCTAGAATTACAACTGGTAGGTATTTTTTTTGGCCAAAGAAGGGGCGTCGCAAAAAAGTGACAAATTCCCAAGGGCGTCACAGTAAAAATAAGTTTGGGAAGCCCTGGTGTAGACTCTAGGCCCCGCAGGGTTTTAAAAGTTTCCTTGTTAATTCTGCAGATCTTCGACATAAGAGGTACAGCAGTGAGGTGTTTGAGGTGGTACGTTGTTGCTACTATCTAGATCTACAACTGCAACAAGCAAAAAGAGATGCGGACAAGTCCTCTTTCTTTTAGCTTTATGCACTAGTGTGCGTTCCGGTCCTACCAGCGGAATAATTTGCCAGAAGTGTAAGCTTACAGATGTGTGTCTTGACTGAATGGTCTGACAGAGAGCTCTGCGCTGTTATATTTGATGTATTTGAAGCAGGCTTTCCGTAACAATTTTTTTATAGAATAAGGGTGACAAACGAGCGCACAGTCCAATCAGTGGTAAGTGGATGTGGTAGCTCATAGACATCTACATATATCGTCGATGTAGATGTGTCACGCCAGTATTCTGTGAGAGCGTGGTCCTTTCTCGGTCGACCACCCATCCGTGTTACAACCATAATATATCTGCAGCGTGGCTTTACCATGTACAAAACGTTTTTGTAGGACATGGTGGCATGGTTGAAACGTGAAAACCCTCTTAAAGCTGAAGTCAATGAGCAATACGCTTTTGGTGATAAAATGACTGAAACTTTCCCAACTTTTGTTATCATACTGCATTTACTTATCTGTATCATATGTATGTGTATCATCTTCCTGTGATTGTAGAATTAATTTAATATGATTCTCATTTATTTGACGCATTTCTCCCTGGCATTAATCCATACTCTCTGATGTGCCCCACATTTTTAACGGGAAAATGTCACAAGTAAAAATGAAGCTGTGCAATGTTTCTTCGATTGCGGAATGAAGAAGGATACTTATTACTTTCTGATCAGTCTTTGTTATTGCATTTGTTTTTGAATGCCTACTTTGACGATAATATATTTTGAATCGTATCGACGAATTTCAGTAATTAGCCTGAGTTATTTTCAGCCCCAACTAAAGTATTTTTGCCTCTATCTTGTGACGTTTATTCGTAGAAAAATTTCCACTTGCTCAATAAAATCTAAAATTGGAACTGAATTTGGGTGGGTCCACACCGGGCGCACGGGCTCTCGCGGCAGCCTCGCGAGCTAAATGCTCGGTGTGTGTGGACGTGCTTTAGGGTCGTTTGTGCGCACGTTGCCTCGGCTGAGCGTGCCTGTGGACCGAGCTATCGGCTGTCGGTAAAAGGGACGCGCTCAAAGGTGCCTCAGTGTGCGCTGTTTGTTCGATGTCGACGGTGGTTTCGGCTCGCTTCTACAGATGTATTGTGGGGAAGTTTCTTCATCATGAACACTCAAGAGCAGTCGATTCTTCTTATTCAATTATACAGTGCATATAAGATGATGTGGGATCCCAAAGATCCTGAATATTTAAACAAATCTCAGCGCGATGACACACGTAGACAGCAAAGACTGTCCATTTTGGATGGTCGAGGGCTTCTAATGACTCGGCGGGCTTGCGAGGCTCCCCTCTGTAATTTCGGGTAAACTACTAAGGCTGCCTCGGGAGGCCAAGTCCGCGAGCCGCACATCGAAGCTGCCGCGCGAAGCCGTGCGCCCGGTGTGGACCCACCCTTTGAATTTTAGGAAATGGGTCTTGATCTAAAACTTAAAGGCAATCAGATCTTAAAGGAAATTGTTATTTTGTTTCAGTTCTATTAGTTGAAAATATAATAAACTATATATATATTCTTTCATTATTTATTTTCAAATAATTATTAACTCAATTTTACTGAGCAAAGTTCTGTGTACCGAAAGTACTGTTACTACTACAAATTATATTTAATTAAAATTTATTTGCAGGTCTGTGCACAGAAATGAAAGTACGTGGTGTAGATTTAATTGTATTAGAAGGGATGGGAAGAGCTGTTCATACGAACTTCAACGCACGCCTTGCTGTGGACTCACTGAAATTGGCAGTGGTTAAAAATGCTTGGCTGGCGCAGCGTTTGGGCGGACCACTGTTCTCTGTTATTTTTATATATGAAGACAAACCAAGCGAAACATAACAATAACAGTAATATTTTACATCTCAACAAGTCAAATTACGAATATGTGTTCTATGTATTTATTATCTAAATACAATTTGGAAATTATAAATGTTTTACCTTTGTCATAGATTCTAGGATAACAATGATCTGTACCAATGTGTTGATGTCATACGACGTTTTACGGAATATACGAGTGTTACCTTGAATAGTTTTTTATTTAACTTTTTTATGTTCATTTATCCCCCCTGCCACACATTCGTCGAGTGGTATGGAAAAGGAAAGTAGGCAAAGACGTAGTGTGGCAGGCAACAATATTCGTCATGCCGCTCTTCATGCTCCTCTTCATGCCCTTCGCTCCCCGTTTTGTCGGCTTTTTTGGGCGCGAGTCAAAGGACGCAACATGAGCGCCAGCGGCTGGCCTCATACCGCGCGAACACAGTCCGACTCGAGCACTCGTTACGGAAGCATCGTTCTAATGCGATGAATCGATGTCATCCACCATATCTGTTGGCGAGGATAACGACGTATATTTCTTTTTATGACATTGATATCATTAGCTATACTACATATGCACAAAGGGTGTTTGTGAAACACTCTCGGAAATGAAGACACGATAGTACTAACCTATTGATTGTATGGCCTACAAATAATTGTTCCGGGTCTGGATGTTTGTCCTTGTGCAATTTATGTTTATAAACTGCCTCCACGACACAGGAGAAAATCCTAGTTTGTGGGTAACTTTTTTTTAAAATTGTAATTAAAACATTGAACTCTTATACTGCTTGTTGATTTTTGTATTACCTTTATTAAAGTTATCCTTATGTATAAATAAATATAATTACGTATGTAGAAATAAAATTGATTTTCATCCTCATCACCATCCTATTTATTTAATTATTCTTTATTGCACCAAATATTTGTACAAAATGCGAGCTATCTATTTATTTACCTATAGTGAGTAGGTATCTTTTAAACTCACAATTTTCATTGCTTCATTTTTAATATATAATTAATTATAAAATTTCATAATTAGATAATATATGAGAATACATAATTCTAATATAATGCAACTAATATACCGAATAAAAAAATTAAAATACATTTATCGTTGTACGCTGTGTGTATTTCCATAAAATAGTTTATTGATTTTGAAAAAATAATACTACGTTCGTACAGTAGATGGCGTCTTACATATTTCTTATGGCGGCACGTTGGCCAACATAGTGGTGAATGTGTTGACAGAGATATTGGCCAAGAATTTGTGATCGCGTCCACACGTTGGAAGGTCGTTCAGTTTGCTTTGGTTCAGGCCAATGTGCGGACGAATTTATTAAAATGATTATTGATGCGCTAACGGCTGCTGCGCTGCTGCTGCTTTATTTATTAACAGCATACCACTATAAACTACTATAAAGAACCACTATAAAGAGGTGGTCTCCGCCTACCCCTACGGGAAAGAGGCGTGATTATATGTATGTATGTATGTATACCACTATAATGTGAATGTGTATAAGATAATTTAAAATTAAAAATTTTGTACAGCCGACTTCAATATAAGTTACTTAAGAATAACTCAATAACCATTAGTCTGACCTTGATCAAATTCATATGGGACTACACGAAAACTATCAGCTTTCATACAAGAAAAGAATAATCGAAATCGGTTCACCCAGTACAAAGTTATGAGGTAACACACATAAAAAAAAACATACAGTCGAATTGAGTACTTTGAGAAATGGAAAAAAAGAAATTTTATTTCTTGACGACTCCGTGGCGTAGTGGCTTAGCAATTAGTTGCGCCGTGAGGGCCGTGGGTTCGAATCCCGCACGGAACAAGTATTTGTATGGCCTGCAAATAATTACTCCGGGTCTGGATGCTTGCCCTTATGCAATTTATGTTAGTAAACTACCTCCACGAAAATTATTTGTAGGCCGTACAAATACTTGTTCCGTGCGGGATTCGAACCCGTGACTTTTAGCGCTGCAACTCATTACTAAGCCACTGCGCCACTGAGCCGTCGTATTTATTTCATCGTTTTTATTATATTCCGAAAAAATAAATTTAAGTAAAAGAACGAAAATATGTTCTGACAGAACATATTTCGCTCTCTCAACATATCTCCGGCTGTAGTGGACTGGTTTCGTAGTTACTTGATTGGGCGCTGACAGCGTATGCAAGTACAGGATGTGTATTCCTCTTGGACCACAGAACACTAATACCCTTAGGCGGGTCTTGGACTGCTACTGTTGCCGGCGTCCCACACCTAGATAAATCCTAGTGTGGGGGTGACGTTTATTCAAAAAAAGACTTGAAAAACTTATGTTTCACAAACAATTTCTTGCTTGGTAGGGCTCTATAAAGAGAAAAGTTTTTTCATTGGTCATTGTTACTGCCATTATGTAGGTGCGTGCGATCACTCTGGGAACTCGTAGCAAACTGAACGTGCGCCCAACGTGTGGACGCGACGGCCAATACTCTGCCACAACCCTTTGATCTTTTGCAAAAAACCGACACCACACGGATCTCGCGCCAACTTGTGGGCCATCGTTCCAATACGTACCAACGTAGCTTAAACACTCGCTCTACACGATGGCCATCGTTGTTGGCCAACACATTCGCCAGTATGTTGGCCAACGTGAAGAGCCGCCGTTACGGCGGCTCTTCGCGATCCACCAATAGCATTTTCTAGTTCTCTACTCCGTACGATCACTGTGGAATCTGCTATAGCAGATTCCACAATCTGCTGTAGCTAGCAATTTTTCTGGAATGATATGAATTATAGATCTCCAAGATTCTACTATTTTCAGGAAGCTTACCTAATAGATGTGACATTGACGTTACACATAATATAACAATAAGGGTATTCACGACTTTTTCTGCCACCAGGGCGGCGCCACTAGAAAGTGAGGTATAATATCTGACAGATTTCATAGTGGAGAAGTTAATTTGTTCGGAAAATGTAAAAGTTATTGTTTCTTTTTGTACTATTAGCTATATTTTATATTAATAACATTAAAGATAAATAAACCAAAGCACAGATTTTCATAAAGGTAGAAAAATTAAAGAGCGAACCACTGACGCATTGTTTTGTGTTTTAATATAATACTCTAGAAACTGATAAACTTTTATTCAAAAATAACCTCTCAATTAAATTATATTGTGTAACAAAAAACTTTACCTCAGTGTCAACTAGCGACATCTGGTGGGCAGAAAATTATTAGCACTCATTCTATGCACATTGTATTTGCTTTGACCATGTTCATCTTCAGACAGTCGGGGACACTATTAAGACATTCTCATGGAATATTATGGTGCTAATAATGACTATATTGTCGGCGAATCAAAATATAACTAGGTTGGTAATTTTAAGTGTTTTATAAAATGTTAAGGTTGCGTCATTCTACTACAGAGTTTTGTTTTGAGATAATGACAAAATCGACATGACCAAACCACCGAAGCATTGCCTTCTTAATCCTTGTCACAACGTCATCTTGTAAACCACACTTTTCTCTTATCACACTATTTCTCACCCTGTCATTCAAATTCTGCCCTAGCATACTCCTTAAGGACCGCATTTCTACAGCATTTATTCTACTCTCATGCTTCTTCTGCCAGACCCAACTTTCACTACCATACATTAAAGTAGGGACTAACACAGCATTACGAATTGCCATACGTGCCTTATTTGACACATTTTGACTCCTAGTAATAGTGAGTAGAGCCCCATTCACTCTATTTCCTGCCATTAGATATACATAGACAAAACAATATAATATCCCCTAATAATAAGTCGTTTTTTTGAATAATGTCGATTTTTTTTCCTAGCGTGAAAGGCATATAACGAAAATGTATTCTATAATTATTAAAGTTTAGGATATTTGAAAAATAAAAATATTTTTTTTGATGGTCGATATTCAATAGAATCTACGAATTAGAGCTCCCAAATCATGTCTTCGAGAGTTTTTGCCTAAACATACATCGGGAGAATGATTATTACTGAATAAATAAATAAGTTATCAAAATTCGCTTTGAGCTTATTTGAGGAGAGAAAACGAACTATTTTACCAAGTAATTGTTATTTCAAGCAACGAACGATAAACATACAATTTCAACGAGGAACCCTTGTAATTTCGCGTTTTTTTGTAATACGCCTTTTAACAAGAAATGAGTAGGGGATACCTTCAATGCCAGGAGTGGAATCCTTTAGGTGCCTAAACACTAACTGCAGTTCAACTACAGTGGACCCCCGGTAAGCCGACAAACATTTTGCAGGGCAGTGTCGGACTATCGAATTTGTCGGATTACGACAAATTCCAGATCCAATGATAAGATTTTATATGTTATATACAAGTATGTACTCTGAAGTGAAAATTATACTCCATTATGCATGTCAAATTTAGTAAATTAAACAACACAATAGGGAGTTTACATTTTATTATAAAATTAACGTCATTAATGCTATAGAACTTACAAAAATATGCAATAACTTTACATTAGGAAATAATTGTGTACAAACAAATGTACATACTAAAATAATCAAAAATTACGAATCAAGTCATAACTTGTTCAATCATGCATTTGCGAAGATTATCAAAAAAATATCTAATAATAAATAATAAACCATGTCGGATTTCAGGGGGTGCCGGATTACCGGGGGTCCACTGTATTGAAAATGGTTCATTAAGGTTAGACGAGTGAGGAGGGAATGATTTGGAGGTAGGAAATATCTCTTCTTCTAATGGAACCCATGGGGGAGCCAGTCTGTTACTGAAATCGTCTAGCCAATGGGAGGGCTTTGCACAAGGGGGATTACTATTATTTAAAGCACCACGGAAGCGCCTGATACTTTTCCAAACAAGACAAGGAGATTGGGGAGATAGGTTCTCACAGAATGAAAGACATCCTTTTTTTTTTCAGAAATAAATATTTTAAACTGAGCAGCTATTTTATGATAATTTAGAAAATTTTCCACAGACATATAGCCGTTTTGCTGTCTTTCGTTTTCTAATTATTGAGA